AGCGGATTTATTCCCATCTAGGTGTGAAAGCCGGGGCCAGCGGCTGGCAGGTGAGATCCACCGGGGTGTTCGGGTCTCACCAAAGAAACAAACTCCTCTGCTGCTGGCAAAGACATTTAGTGACGTTTCCCCCTGTGCCCCCAGCTTTAAGACTCGCTCTCCCCTTTTATTGCCCTAAAGGGCACATCCCCGGCAAAAATGCCTCCCACTCTTTAAAAAGAACTTGAACGTCAGTCTGCAGGTTTCACCCTACTGTAGACATCAACCGGGCAAACCATAATTAAACAGCTCCCTCAGCAAAAGGGAAGGCGACACAGGTGACAATTGCTCCCCCCATTTCTACAGGCCTTGCAGGTACCAGCCCCGTGGTTGCAGAGCCACGAAGTATAAAGCCACCAAAAACTCACGTTAATTTTGCAGCAAAAATACTGCTGAGGGCGTGCAGCGATCGGGGCGCTGGGGCAGAGCGCAGCAGTTGGGGGTAGCGAGAAGAGGACCGTGATTTTCAGCCTCAGCCTCCCCCAGTAGCACCTGAAGGGCTTTGGGACAGTGCCCTCCTCGGCGGGGCACGGGGGCACGTACCCAGGCGTCGCAGCAGAGCCAGGGCGCCGTGCCGAAGGCCATCCCGGGGAGGAAGGTCACGATCTGCAGCACCGCACGGACAGCTCCGGGTCCCCTGGGCTCTCACCGGCCAGGCTCCCTCCTGCCGGGGGCAAGGACCCGAGTGAAGCTGCTCGGGGGCGTCTCACGGCGGGACAGGCCCAGCGACCCGCTCTCCGTGTGGGCAGGACACCTCACCCCACGGCCAGAGGAGCTGAACCCTCCCCACCGGGTTTTTATTCCTCGAGTGCCATCAGCAAACGTGGCTCAGACACCCACCCCTGGCCCCTGCAGGACCAGATGTGCTGGGGGTGACGTCTCAGGAGGTTCTCAATTTTAGCAGAACGCGCTCAAAAGGGATTTGTCTCCTGCAAAGCAAAGCACAGCACTGTTGGGGAACGGCTTGCAGAGAGCAAGGCCATCGCTCCCTGCAGGAGCTGGTCGCAGCCACCTGAGGTAAACAGAGGAAAAAACCCAGGGTACAGTGATGCTAACAAAGGACTGTTATGTTAACAGAGAGAGAAACTGAGGTACACAATGGCCTTGTGTATGATAAGGGAATGGTCCTGGGAGAAAAACAGGCCAGAAGAAGGAAGATGTTGTGACATGCCTGAGATGCCACAAGGGGTGGGATATTATAATGTGGCCTTTTACATGTATCCAATAGATTTGTGAGCAGTGTGCATGACTATTGTGGAGTGCTTATATAAGGTGTGATTTCTTTCAATAAAGTTGAAGCTTGCTCTATCACTCACATGGAATCGGCTGCTTGCTTCCTCCGCCCGCCATATTGGCGCACCGAACAGGGTTTCCCGAACTCTGCTTTTCCACCAAACGGAACCCGGGAAGCGGCGGAACGGATTTCATAGCAGGAAGGCGATAAGGTCGCTGCCTGGTGCAGTAGACGTGTGTCGTCTCCTGAAGCGCCGGGATTTGTAAGTCTGACATCGGAGCAGCGGATCCACAATATTGCTTCAGGGGATATTGCGAACCGAGGGGGCTACAAAGGAATAGGCCGGTTTGGTATAACCAGGAAAGGCCGTAAGGAATCATAAACTGAAGGCTGAATTTGGGGAAACCTAGGAAAAGCCAGCACTGGTCGTTAGCTACTGATCGGATATTACTGAAGGTCGTCAAGCTACGATACAGGAAAGGAATTAAAAGAATTCTGCCTGGGCAGGAACAAGGAATAAGAGGTAGCCCTAAGACTTTTTGCTTTTTAGAAAAGCGGGGAGTAAGTCCGATAAAAACCTTAGCCGCGCTGATTGGTCTGGGCAAGGCTAAGGGACACTTTAAAGAGCCAAATTTATTGTTTGAAGAAGCAGAATGGTGTGATAATCTTTTAGACCCTGATGCTGTAAATCCTGAAAAAGAATCTGGACTGTCTGGTCTGAGTCCTCCCTTGACTGAGGATGATCCAGTAAAAGTGAGGCAAAAAAATAAACAAACGTAAAAGTGAGGTGAAAAAACCTTGGCGCAAGGGAATATGGACATGGCAAGAAAAATTTTTCCTCCTGTAAGCTATGAGCCGATTCATCAGCCACGTTGGGAAGAACGGCATTTTTCTGTTATTAAAGATTTAGAGAAAAGCATTAATAAGGACGGGCTGCAAAACCTCAGACGACAGCAGCTGTACTGGAGGCGATGGCTCAGGGATATCGACTGGCCTGTAAAAATTGGCTAACACTTTTGAGAAAGAAGCAGCATTCACGCCGGCACAGCACTCTACCTGGAAAACCGAGGTGTAGATCTCCGTGCTCAGCGTTCGGAGATGGCGGTGGCGGCCCGGGGCCTCCCCGACCCCCCCACCGCGGAGCGGCCGCCTGCGGCTGAGCCCGGCACTGCGCTCTCGGCACCACCACTTATGCAGCACAGGCTTTATATGTTCTTAATAGAGTTTTCGTATTGGTAATATTTGTCATTTTATGCTGTGAGTAATAAGTGTCAGGAGCTCCTTTGTGTGTTTGTGTGAGTTTGATTGTGTGTGTGTGTGTGTGTG